GCTCGAGAGCTTCTCCTCAACTGCGAGACATCTTCCGCGCCTCCCACGGACCCAGCCCGTCCGGAGTGCTTGCTGGCCGCCTGGGCCTTCTGGCCACAAACAGCCCTCGCCGGATTTTCAGATCCCCCAATTTTATGTCCTCACCGCCTAACTAGGCTTAAATTAGAGGTAGCCTGTGGGCTTTGAGTGATGATTTCATCCTGGAAATGCATCCTCCTAAAAGATCACTGTGACAGCCAGAGCAAATCTTGTAATCCAAATTGTGCTTTTGAGAGGTTGCAATTGAAAATCCCGTCATTCCCGCACTCCCCCCCCCCAGTCCAACTGCATTCCTTGATAAGTTTCCAGGCAAGTTATAAAGTTTCCAGTCTATTTATACGTGATTGCTATAAAAAGACTTTTAGGAGACGGTGTAGGAGGCCCTCGTCCCTTGACGCGCCGCTGCGGGTGCCTCTTCCAGTGGTGCCTGTGCCGGCTCCTTGGGGCTTCGCGCGGGGCGGCGGGAGCTGCTGGCGGCCGCGCCGGGACCGCACGCAGTTCCAGGACATCTGCGGACGGGGCCGTTACCAGCCGCGAGCTCCGCGCCTGCCCTGGCACCGCTCGCTTTGCCCTGCCTGAGCAGAAGGGAGACCCCTCTGTCCCCCAGACACAGGGACACTGCGAGGAGCAAAACTGCGCGAGGCACAGGCTGCTGACACGTCCCCTCTTGGAAACCTAGACAGCGTTTCTGGGCGGAAACAACATCGGCAGCTCTTCTCTGAGCACACCGCGATGGATGTGTCCAGGAACAGCCAAATGGTGTGACTGTGCATCGAGAGCTCGGCACCAAACACTGCGCGGTGGTGAGGGCCGGGCCGGGCCGGGCTGGCTGCCTCCTTCAGGGCTTTCCAGTTTCTGAATCCGAGCTGGCATCGGGGCTGGACTGCCTTGGGTTTTAGCAGTGCCCCCTCTTGTGGGAAACACAAAATCAGGACCTGGCTGTTCTAGCTCTTCTGCTGCAGCAGCCGTTTAGGCCGTGGGAAATTCAGGCTGTTTATTAGCAGAATTAGTATATTAAGGATTGTTTTTTTTTCCATAGAAACCGATGTTTCAGAATTGTCTCTGAGATAGGCATTTGGTTTCCTTGGTTTCTATAAAATCTGGAGTGGAAAGGTTACTATGTAATCATATTTAAAATTAAAACTTTATTTGTGAATAGATGGATTTGTTCTTTCTTTTTTTTTGGCAAAGATGGTTTTCTAACATAATAAGGATAATAAGATACCTAAATCTCTCCAAAGTTCTGTGAATTTAAAATCCAAATTTTTAGGGAGACATTGCAAATTTATTTAGGGCAACTCTTAAATCTTCTCAAGTGACACTGGAGCCGGACAGATTTCTAAATTTTAAGTCAAAATGTAAACGCCAGGAATCAAACGCAAAACTTAAGAGGTCATAGTCATTCTTTAGCAGCTCTTATGCATATTGTAACCTCTTCACCCAGTTCCCATTCCCCTGCACCTACTCCTGTTTTTATTTCCCGAGCAGGTAGGATTTGGGCACCTGTTTCCTTCCTTCCCCAGTATAGCCTCAGCCAGTGCCAGCACTTGGATCAATCCTAAGCCGCTGAGTGACTGTTCTGACTGAAGCACAGACCACTGAACTTTTGCGCCTCAGCTTTGCTGTCTGTGCATGGGGATAGGGCTTATTTTAAAACACTCTGGATCTACTGACAAAGACTTTTAATGTAAAATCTAGGTATTTCTGTGAGAATTCATTTTGCACTTATATGTACATATATATATATACTTTGTGTATATATATGTATGTATACTTTTTTAGCTGATCTTGCTGAAGAGTCTTTACATGGTATTAGATAAAAAATATAAAAATGCTTTTAAGTAAAATACAGAATCTAGGGTTTGAAATAGTAAAGTCTTACTGCAATTAAAAATCTAGGATTGCCAAGGGGAGAGGAGGACGAGAAAGAGGAAGTAAGATTAGTCAACCACAAGGCTTGGCTGGTCTGGATCCACCCACCCCAATGAGTAACCGGATGACAGTAAAAGCTGTCATAGAAAAGTGGTCATCAGCTGTGCTGGGCTGTCCTAGGAATATTAATTACATAATTGCAATCATTTGCCTGTATTTTCTTCCAACAGTGATGTGGCAGAGCACCTTGTTGGTTGCAGGGTGGCTTGGTTTCATTCTCCAAACTACACTGCCCCAACAGTGGGGTGATGTGACATTGCTGTCAGTGATTTGTGCAACAGGGAGTATCGTGCTCTTCATTTTGGCCTTTGCGTAAGCGTGGTGACACCAGATACACTGAGCCAACTGCACAGGGCGCTGCCGCTGGAAACTTCCTTCTCCCTTTCATGCTGCTTCTCATGTGCCAGCTCGGACCCCTCAGCATGCAGGGCAGAAAGGAGGAGACACTTGGATAAGCACTGATGCGAGGGAGGGCTCAGAAGAACGAGGCCGAGGGCAGGGAAAGAAGCAGAGCCCGGGGGTGGCTGTCGCTTGGCAAGTGTGGGAAGAGGCCTCCAACATTGACCAGATACCTCAGGGCACAAGTGGGGAAAATCTCACTCTTGCGCCCATTATCCACCCTAGGTTGCCCCTGGGGCTTGCCAGACCCGCCCCCAGGCCAGCCCAATTCACTCCAGCAGGAAACAGCATGAGATGTTCATCTTCTGCCAAGTGAGTGAGCTGACTGAGTGCAGCAGGAGCCACCAAGCGCCAGGCCTGAGCTGCAGCTGAAGCACTGGGGTGAGGAAGCAGGGGAGAGGGCGTGAGGCAGGAAGGGGAAATGAGGCCTCCTCCCCTTGTCAGGCCGACCCAGTGCCCGGCCGGGTGTAACTTCACCCCAAACACGTGGCTTTGCCGTTGAACTTGGGCAGGGATGCAAACTCAGGGCGGTGAAACTAGCCGCGGAGTAAGCAGCGCTTAGGCAGGCCTCGATGGGGACGAGCTGCAGGAGTGAACTCTGGTGTAAGCGGCGCCTGCAGACGCCAACATCCTTATTAACTAACACTACACCCAAACTTGCTCTGAAATGAGTGCATGTGGTGCACGTGTAACCTTTTACAAAAGCATACCACCAGCGACTGTAGCGAGGAGAGGCAACTTTTTCTAAACTGAACCTGCATGTGCCTGAGTTTAAAGATGTGAGTCTATATGGAGCTCCGGGGCAGCAGCTGGGGGTGCAGCCTCAGAGCAGGCCTTGT